TTGCGATTAACACTACAAACAATCCACCCTTTCTATGACTATGACTCCCTTCAATATATTATCCATTAAAACGGTGACAAATTTTATTTTCCTTCATATTTTTATTATACTTATATATTACAACTTATTAAGATAATCTTTTGAACAATTAGGAAAAATAAAACAGAAAATTTCATCCACTAGAAAATGATGTATCAATTTAAGTTACAACAATTTAAGTTACACCATGTTTGGTTCACAGAATGAATTTTAAGGAAATAGAAATGTTATTATTATTATTATTATTATTATTATTATTATTATTATTATTATTATTGTTGTTGTTGTTGTTGTTGTTGTTGTTGTTGTTGTTGTTGTTGTTGTTGTTGTTGTTGTTGTTCTATAGGAATTAGATTATTGCAAAAAAAAAAAAAAAAAAAAGATGTGAAACTATAAAACAAAATATTCATATAAATAATAAAAAATTTTAAAGAACATTTAATAATATTTAGAAGAAGAATAACATCAGTTTATTTTTTTTCAACAAAATACTCAAAACAATCAAATGATATATAGTAGCAATGTTCATAAAATGTAAATATGAATAACAGCTAGCTAAGGAATCTTTTGATTCCCTGTAGTTTTCAATCAGGATCAAGAATGAGAAAAGATGCCACGTTAATAGGATGGTCATTCTATTCTCAAATATATATAAATAATTAATTTTTAGAAAATAAAGTTTGCAAAAAATACCTTTTCTTTGAAGCTTTAAGAAGAATTCCAATATAAATTAGATGCAAATGACAGAAGAGTTGGGAAGAGTTGAGAAGATAGAGAGAAAGATAGCAGAATTTTTTTTTTTAGTACTAGAGAGGGGGGGGGGGGGGGGGGGGGGAGGGGGAGGGACCAATAATAGCTATTCCCCTTGTAGGGGGAATAGCTCATTCCCATGAACAATGTTCATGTGAATAGTGATTATTTAACTGATGTTGAGTTTATGTTAGTATTCTGATCAAACCTCGTCATGAAGGAAGACGCAGTGGGAAAGGTACTATTGGATTAAAAATATTTGTTCCACCTATAAACTTGCGAGATAAGACACATCATCTCGTATTGGAACACCTTTCTGAGGTTCATCCGTACTTGGACCAACACATATCCATGATAAGACAACAAAATCTTTCAAAGGGTGAAAGATGGGTGGCCATTTTGAACACAATTGCACTTTCATAAGACGGTTCAACGATACTGTGATGAAAAAGCTATCTCAAGTACGTGCCAAATAAGGTCAGTGAAGCCATCAAATGGTTATTATATGGACCTGCATTGCTTGTGAGTTGTTATGAATGTTATGACATAAATGGATATACATTTTACACCAAGTGACAAGATGAAAAGAGTGTGGTGCAAAATAGTGGGGTTACATTAGTAGCAATATCAAAAGATTATTCAAGTGCTAAAGATACTAAATCGATTGATGCTGTTATGCCTTACTATGGTGTATGTGATTGAAGAAATTTGGGAACTTGATTACAACGTATTTAAAATTTCTCTATTCCGATGTACTTGGATTGATAATAGAAGATGCGTTCGGATAGATGAATTGGGTTTTACTTTGGTTGATTTTGGTTGGTTGGGTTATCATGATGAACCATTCATACTTGCATCTCAAGCAAAACAAGTGTTTTATGTTTCTGATCCTGTTGATAAAAAGTGGTCAGTTGTCTTACAAGGCAAGAGAAATATTGTTGGTGTTGGAGATGTTGTTGATGAAGAAGAGTATAATCATTTTGATGAAACTCATCCATTTTATATTGGTATTCAGTCTTTATCTTCAGAGAAAAATAACCTTGAAATGAGTTACATGCGTAGTGATCATGAAGAAGGATTGTAAAATATTTTGCTCCTGCGGCCAACTCTGGGTATAGGGAATTTGCTCTTTTTTTTTTTTTTTTTTTTTTTTTTTTTAACAGGGAATTTGCTCTTAATTGTATTTGAATTGAAGGCTCTATAATCAACACAAAACCTCTATGTTGAATCCTTCTTAGCTAGGCACAAGGAGGACTTGTGAAGCAAATGGAGATATGCTTGGAGCTATCACTCCTGATTTCAACATTTCTTCTACCATATTCTCTATGGCATTATTTTGGTCATAAGAGTACCTATATGGGCTTATATTGACTGAGCATTTGGCAAGAGAGTGATTTCATGATCACAATACCTAGTAGGTGTAAGAGCCTTAATTAGGTTCTTAAATGAGATCATTATACTCCTATATTAATTCTTGTAGAGTTGGTTCCTCTGCGTTTCACTGGAAATCACTGATCCTGAATCAAGAGTTTATTTATTGCATTTTTTCCACCTTGTGATCTCCCTTTATGTTGCTTTCTTTAAGCTTAATCAGGTAGTCAGAAATTCCGTAATTTCAAGCAGTGAAAACTACTTATATGACTCCAAAATCCCTAAGAACTTGCAGTAGCAACTGGCCTGCACAACGGTTTTAACAAATGGAACCTAACGACACCGTTTTACTGACTGTACTCCGATCCTTTCTGAATTCTCTAATAAGTCCCTTGATTATTTTTTAGTTTTGCATTTCGACCCTTGGGTTATGACAGATTCTTATGTTCACCGTCTTGGTTTAAAAAAAAAAAAATAAATAAAAAAAAATCATCTCATTCAAATCTCTAATCTGTACACAACACCATTGGCAACGTGTCGGACTTTTTCATTCAATTTAGTTTAGGTGTTGTTGTCTCGGATGCCTACAACACAATTAGAAGTTTGAACTTTTCATTCTTTGGTGTTCAAGAAGGTTTCAAGTTAATAGCAGTTACAACAAGATTCCCATATTAGCAACCTAACTTAGAATTTAAAAATAAAAAAAAAAAGACAAGACCAGACAAATAAAAATGATTAAGTAAATGAGTAATAATAAAAACAATCTTGTTATATTCCAAGTTTTACACTCACTATATTATTAAAATATTTCACTTGTTTATCCATTAAAAAAATATTATTATAATAAATAATAAATAATATAATAAGTTTGACAAAACAATTAAATGTGAATCTTATGATGTCTTTGAACTTCAATTCCAAAGTCAAACATGGCACAAAGATGGACAAAGTCGATGTTTGTTGGCTTTTTGCCATTTACGACTATTAGTGTTTTAATTTGCAAATTGCAAGATTGAACACACTTGCGTCTTCCCTTGTTACTTTTTTTTTTTTTTGAATGGTCTTCCCTTGTTACTTAAGATACAAATAATATGATTTCTTCTACGATGCTTTATACTATTACAAATTGTTATTATTCATTCCAGTAATTCAAAGTGTTGGTTTTATTGACCAAGTCAAACGGCAGGCCAACATAACAAGAAAAATAAATAAAAGATAAATAATGGAGAAGAAGAAATAAATAGACACGTTAATTTTTACATGAAAACTGAAAGGTAAAAATCATAGGCCTTTTTGAGTGGTGTCAAGTCGAAATTCACTGTACTATATTTTGGTAGTTTGGTATATGTACAATAGAGTATTCTCTAGAGAGATGTGGGATGATGAGAGGATCTCGATGCCTTTCTTTGTGACTAACTAATTAAAGCCTTTTTTAGTAGAAAAATAAGTAGAGTATATGGTAATCGGGAGCTATATGGTAATTTGGTATTTTTGGTGAAGTAGGGTAATTAATGAGATTTGAAAAGGGATTTTAGGAAGGAGAGTGATAATTTAGGGGGTAGGAGTTAATTTAAGTTGACTTTGATTGTCTTTCTATAATTGTTTAATTGCCATATAATTCATTCCTTTATTGTCGTGTTTGACCACACTCTAATATGTTAACAATTATATCAATTTTGATTGGGATGGGGTTTGAACCTAAGACCTTTCTTATAAAAATCAATGAGTAAGTTAAAATAATAAATAGTTAACGGAATATTCCGTTACTAAAGTTTACACTGACGGAATGCATGAGTATTTACGAAAAGTAAATGATATAATAGAGGTAAAGTGTAAAAAATAATAATAAATACTCAAATAAAAAATAATATGAACCATTCATTTCAACAAATAATTAAACCAACATTTTTTAATCTCCAATCTATTTACACCAAATTCTATTTATACACTAAAATAATTTGTATTATTATAATTTAAAACTTTAAGTTTGTTTACTTAATTATTTTAATATAAAATATAATTTTGATATAAATAATAATAGAGTAAATACCAATTTTGGTCCCACGAGTATTAGCAAAATGACAATTTTGGTTCACATGTTTAATTTCTACCAATCTTCATCCACGACTATTGTTTTAATACCAATTTTCATCCACGATTATTGTTTTAGTGCCAAAATTCATCGCGCCAGTCACCCCTTTGTTTAAGACATGCCTGAATATGAACTTATTAAGCGTATTTTCGTCATTTTCAAATTAAGATCACAATTTGAACATGAATAAATATATTTAAGTCGTAAGATCGATCTCAAATTATAATTATACTCCTACAATTAAAGTAGGATGAGGACGAGAACTGCAAATTGGGATTGATCTTTGGGCTTAAATCCCTTAATTCATGCTCAAATTGGGATCTTATGTTGAAAAAGACGAAAATACCTTTAAAATTTGGAGATGAAAACAATATTCGTGGATGAAAATTGGTAGCAATTAAACATGTAGACCAAAACTATAATTTTGTTAATACTCATTGGACTAAAATTGGTTTTTGCTCAATAATAATATTTTAAAATAGAATTTATGTTTTTATGTATTTTACTTTTTAATTATTTTTATTGTCGATATTGATCTCATTTTAAACATCTCAATTAGATCTTTAAATCTTTATAATTTATTTGTAATAATATAAAAGTTTAAAAGGAAACAATTGGCAAAAATGTTTTATATGAATAGTATTCACTACAAAAAAACACGAATATAGCGACGATTTTAGCTACGGATATGTTTCGTTGTTAAATTTGTGACCGATTAGCGGAAGGTTCAACTGACCCACCAGTTATAGACATGTCACAAATGTATGTGGATGTTGTTGGTGGGGTAAAAAAGCAGCGTATTTATGGCTTATGGACTAAGTCATCTGCATTTACCAGCGGGAATAGCTGTAGTTCATCTGCTACTTCACAACTTCAACAAGAGGCAATGAAGGAGATGATGAACCAACAGTTAGAGACCATGCGAGGTGAGATGGAAGCTAAACTACAAGCTGAAAGAACTGAGATGGAAGCTAAACTACAAGCTGAAAGAACTGAGATGGAAGTTAAACTACAAGCTGAAAGAACTCAAATGCAGGCTCAAGTGCAGACTCAAATGCAAGCTCAAATTGCAAGTTTGATGGATGAGTTGCGTCGCAATGGTATGCTATCCAATCCAAGTACTCAAGCTCAACAATCGGCTAATTCAAATGCTGAAAACTTAGGAGATGATTATATTATGTTTTTTTAATATATTTGGTACTAGTACTAATGATGTAACATTATACTATAATACTTTTGTTGTTGTTATTCACTTTGAATGCTTTAATATAGTATATTTTATAATTATAATATTCAAGTACTATATTATAGCCTTAATGCATGTTTCTGATATTAATTAGCGGGTACAATTATTTTATTAATTTTTAAAATTTAGCGACAGATAAATATGGTAGTAAGACAACGAAATAGCAACGAAAAAATCCGTAGTTAAATTTAGCGACGGATATTTTTATCACTAAGTTGTAGTTAAATCTCATTAAATTAAAATAATAATAAAATTCTAGCGACGGATAATCTCCGTCGTTAAATTAACGACGGAAAATAGCGACGGTCATGTCGGTCGCTATTTGTAGCGACGGAAAAATCCGTAGCTAAGTCGTTGCAAATTTCGTCGCCGTTACGTAGTAGTAGAAGCGCAACGACATTTTTTTTTTTGCTTTAGCGACAGAAATTTTGTCGCTAAATATAGCGACCGATTCTTCGGTTGTTATTCGGTCACAAAGGTCGTCTTCAAATCCGTCGCCTAGTGAAATTTAGCGACGGATTTATTTCGGCTAACGAGGGACTCTTCCGTCGCAAGATTTAGCGACGGAAAAATGTTGTGTCGCTAAAGTCTAGCGACGGGGGTTTTAGCTACGGACGGCATCCATCGCTAGTCCGTCGCTATACGGTTTAGCGACGGAATTTCCCCTTTTTAGCGACGGAAAAGTCTGTCGCTATTTTAGCATTTTTTTGTAGTGGTTGGTGTAGAATTTGGTGTTTTCTTATAGGTATATGTTCGGGTTTTCGCTGTTGACTTGCTAGTCCACGATAGTAATCCCACAAATAACATTTTTTTTCAAGTCCCCTGACTGATTCTACCATAGAGTCCAACAATTGATAATAGTCCCCCCCCCCCCCCCCTCCCCCCACCCCTACCTCGAACACAGCTTATAACTTTCATCATACTATGCTCTCCAAAGAACAACTCTTCTCAAAATCTCACTCAAAAAGTGATGAGTTGAAATTCCACTCTAAGTAAGAATTCTTGTGGTTAGAGGTAAGCAAAATATCGGTTAACCATCCGCTAACCAAAAACCGATATATATATATATATATATATATATATATATATATATATATATATATATATATATATATATATATATATATTTGTGTGTGTGTGTGTGTGTGTGTGCAAAATCTAATAGACTAATACTTGGTTAGTTGGTTATATACATATGGGAAAATTATTATTATTAGAGGTAAGCAAAATATCGGTTACCCTAAGTTAAAAAATAATAATAATAATAATAATAAAAAGCACAATTCAAATCCTTTAAACCTTTAAAATTGTTCAATTGAGTCCAAATCTACCTATATAGCAAGTTAATTCATCCAAAGCTTGATGCGTGTCACTACTAAAATAATTTTTTTTTTAATTTTTAAAAATTATTTATTACTTTTAAAAAAAAAAAAAAGTTTCAGTCATTGGTTGTCCAGCGAAGACATCTGCACCGAACAACCACGACTGTCAAACATGAGGTCCAGATCTGGACCTCAAACGGCCTGGATGGCCGTCACCCACGTTCCAAACCGCCATGGACGGCCATGGCTGTCTAGGACCGGCCCCGGACAGCCATGTCCGTTTGGAATGAGGGCGGCAGCCATGGCCGCCGCCCTCGTTCCAGGCCGTTTGAGGTCCAGATCTGGACCTCATGCTTGATAGTTGTGGATGTCCTCGCCAGACAACCGTTCTGTGAAGGAGGCAGCCACCAACTGTCCTCGTCGGACAGCCGGTGACTGAAACTCTTTTTTTTTTTTTTTTTTAAATAAATAATTTAAAATTTTTTAAAAGATAAAAAAATATATATTTTAATAGTGACCTTGTCGAGCTTAGGATGAATTAATATGCTATATAGATTGATTTGGACTCACTTAACAATTTTACATGTTTAGAGGATTTGAGTGGAGCTTTTTTTGTTTTTACTTAAGGGATCTAATTGCACTATCATAATGACTTAGGGTCCAATTTGACATTTTTTTCCCTATACATATTGATTTATGGCAAATTATGCTGTGCAACCTTTTGCACCATGCATGGTGCACACTGTTGCAAAACGACGACGTTCCAAATTAAAAAAATATATATATATTTTTCATTGCCATTAACGACGTTAGACGGTTTCCTTTTGCATTCAAACATTCCATTCTCTCTTCGCAATTGCACAGTTTATAAATTATTAATCTACAGTAAAAAAATTATGAATTTACAGTATTAGATTTGTGAACATGTGATAGAGCTATATGTTCATAATTTTATAAATATATGTTCATAATTATAGAGCTATATGTTCATAATTTTCGATGTTCATATTCCCAAATGTTGAACTCTGTATTCACAAATCACAGAATTATATGTTCATAATTTGATAACTATACAGTATAGAAATTATGAATCTACAGTACAGATATTAATGAATCTACTGTATTTAAATTATGAATCTACGGTTGAAAATTATGAATCTACAGTATAGATTTTATGAATCTACAATATATAAATTATAAATCTATAGTATAGAAATTATGAATCTACAGTATAAAATTTATAAAAGATAACGGTGCCGCTAACAACACCGTTACTCAACCACATAAAAACGATGTTGTTTAGAACCTGCGCACAGTTCCACAGCATAACGCTCCTTGATTTATACTGCCAGTCAGCATAAGCCCATTCATTCAGCCCATAACTTATATTAACCCAATACAATTATTATTATTTTTTTAAAACGACCCAATACAATTATTCAAAAGTCAAAACAACACAAAATACTAAAATAGGCATAGCTATTAGCCCCAACCCTAAATCGGTATCCCCTCCCCTAATCGGCTAACCCTTCTCTGCTTCTCGTCTTCTCCAATCTCCGATGGTCGGTTTTCCAGAAAACTACATCAGCCTTCGAGACCTGTACGCCAAGACAAATGAATTCTGCAGAAGAGCTCCTCAGACAGTTCAATGCCAGTAGAAAGGCGGCTCCAAGACAAATGAATTCTGCAGAAGAGGCCCTCAGACACTTCAATGCCGGTAAACAGGCGGTTCAGCAGAGAGCCGTGGAGGTTCCAAGAGAGGCTGCCGATGATCCGCTTGCTGCATTAAAGGCAAGACTAGAGAGATTTGCTGAACAGACTCCTCCTCCCATTCCAGCTGAGAACTTGCTATTATATAATGATGTGCCAGACATTCTCGACCACTTGGAGAAGGAGAAAACAGACTTCAGGGATGATCAATTCCTAGAGAGTGAGGGTTTCTATTTATTCAAAACTGATCTTGGAACTCTTGCTGAACTCGGAAGGACTGTCTTGCCTATGTTAGCGCGTGGATTCGATACAAAAGGAGTTATAGGACTCTTTTTATTGGCATATAACTTAAGGATACCTTATACTGGTGGAGAAGGCCAGGTTTTTGAAGACATTGCTCCAGATTTCTCATTTTTTGATGCTTATGGACCTTATGTTGCCAATGTCCAATATTCTGGACACCACTTTGACAATGGATATAAAGCTACTTTAGATCCTATCAAAGAAGCAATTTACTTCTGTTTCATTGCTGCCTCAACACTAAGGCTGTTCATAAAGCCAGTTGATAACTACATTGGAGCATGGCAAAATATTATCAGTAAGTTTATTACTTTCTATGGATTCCCTGCCCCTCTGGTTTTAATGGCTCCTACAAAAGAGGCTCTGGCTGGCTTACATTGTGCCTTTGCATACGACGAACGCATGAAGATGACATTGTATAAAATCTTATATAGTTCAAAAAGAGAGCGCGAATTAGACGGGTTAAGAAGGTTCCTATATGAAACACATCTCGTGAACACTGGTCTTCATGCTGTTGGAATCTTTGCCCAGCTGAGTGTGACACTCAACGTGCGCAGTTCAAAGATCTTACAGGCACTGCACACTGGGGAATTTGCTAAACAGACAAACGCTCTGGCTGAAATGGTTAGAATGATGACGTCTAAAGAGCCGGCCTATGCAAGGAGGATGTGGAGATTTGGAAGAATCTTTAATGAGAATTTCATGAGTAGTCTTCGGACCAAAGCGTGCCCGAGATTTGTGTACATATTAGCCAGCATGTTGAAGAGAGAGGACCCTGCAAAATGTGGAAATATCCTTCATATTGTACCTCTTAGCAGCTTAAGTGAAGATATCAAGCTGAGATGTCAGGCCGTTGCCAAGATGCTGTTAAACCAAATTCGTAACCCTGTTACTCTCCCAATTCAACAAATCGAAGATGATAGTGTACCCAAAGGGGTGGAACCAGATTATGAGGTAAACCACTTGTGTATATAATTGACTTAGTTCTCATTTTCTGAACAATGATTACTCATATGAAGTATATGTATTAACAATTCTACTATTGCAAATGCACAGAGGGATTTGAAAGAGCTGGGTAAGTGCTGTGAAACCGTGGCAGACGCCATCACAAACTTAGAAAGAAATATCACAGAAGTGTCTAAAAAATACCCAGACTCGCCACAAGTAAACCGTTATAAGGAAATGGCTACTATTTTGATGGGTCACAGCTCTTTAACCCAAAAGGCTAACCAGCTTAAGGCCATGGCTGCTAACGATACTTGTGGATAAAACTTCTGGCACCAAACAGTTTGAGGTAAGTTAGATTGTCACTCAAGATGAGTGTTTGTTTGCATAAATGGATTGATTGTTGTTTTCAAAAAAAAAAATGGATTGATTGTTCATCATAGAAACAGAATGGTAGTCAATATTTTGAAGGAAATGCTTCTTACCTCTCTTGAATTTTCCCTCTTGTGCCTTGTGGCTTCCATTCATTGGGTGTCCATAAATTGGTGAGTCACCAATGATTAAAATGAGAATTTAGTAACCAATTAGATAATGTCACATTAATAGGGATGGGATGGATTAGAGGAGAAAATATGAGGGGTATTTGGCATTACTTTATTATTTATTTTTATCATTAGACTGAAAATATGATCTTGAATTGTCATACAACATAAGTAAATATTTAGCACTCATTATACTTTTGGAGGGTTTTTTTTTTTTTTTTTTCTCCGTATTTATTTTTAATGTCAATATCTGTTCAAGAATTGTGAAACTTTTCAATAATTTGAGAATTAAGACTTAAGAGACTATTAGTTTAAAGTGAAGAGATGTAAAATTCCATTAATAGAACTTTAATGTCTCCAATAAATATCTTTAGATGAGTCTACAACAAAATTTTAAATATAGAACTATACATAACTATTTGAATAATAAGAAACTACTGGATCAAGTTACAAGGATTGAAATTTTTTATCAAAATCTTTTATCATCTAACGTAATGTATAATTTAAATATAAGATTGGCCAATTTTTGGTAACTAATGAGTACAAATGGTAAAGCGTGGGTTTCTATCCCTGTAACTTGATCCGAGGACCAATTTTCCCTATCTATGGAACAATCTTTTGCAGTATTGGTACTAACATTATGGAATATATATAGAAGAAATGGCAAATGACAGGAGTTCTTGCAGCAGATGCAATTATTTTATTTTTTTTCAGCAAATTCAACATCAGTAAGAACGCAATCCCAATAATGCAATTAGTTTTCAATCTCCTCTTGAATTTGGTCATCTGTATCAACACACAACGAAGTTCAGTAAAATTGATGAACAGACAACCTGAAGTCTTTGACGAGGGAAACCCCACAACCCTTTCATCAGGTGTAAGTAAACTCCGTCTTGTGATCCCAGCCAGCAAAGGACCACAAAGAAGTAAACAAATTTACGTTACCCAAAGCTGACCGGCTCAAATCAAAGGGGCAAGGTTTTGAACTCATGACCTTGTGGTTACAAGTGTGGATAGTAGGAGAATTGAAGTATCCATAGCCAGCCAAAAGTCCTCTGCTTTATCAAGAGCAATACCCTACTAATCTCTTCTCACCCTAGTATCCTTAACTATAAAAGTATAAATAAATTCGATAAATTTTTACAATGCCCAAGTTTGCCTGTACATCGGCATCAGAGTTGGATTTCTACAGGACAAATACATATACAAATACAAAGCGTAACAAAATCATGGGTTGGTGCAGACAGTGTTTATGGTAATGTAATAAGCAGTGAGATTGTGGTTAGAGAAAGGGAAGATGTAAATCGAAGCAGAAAGGGTACCCGCAGAATGTGAATGATTTGGAAGGAAAGAAATCTATCCTTAAGTTGTTTATTCGTGAGACGGGTCAGGTCAATATGTAAATGTAATACTTATACTAGCAAATGTAATACTAAATATTACATTTCATCTTGACCCGACTCGTCTCACAGACAAAGATCCGTGAAACAATCTCTCACACAAGTTTTGGACAACATTCTAAACCTATTATTGTAGTTAATTACACTAAGGAAAATGTAGACAATTGTCTTTGAATTGATGGGCTCTTTCTATTGAGTACTATTTTTAGTTTTTATTTTTTAAAATCCTTATTTAGTCTAATTTAATGAATTAACATCTATATAGAGTGGTAAGCAAAAGAGTTTCATTGATCTCCACATTGATAAGTTGGGATGAAAAGAAAATCCATCAAATCACCCATGACCATACAACAACTATTGCAATTTTTTTTTCAAATTAAGGTCCTTTTTTTTTTTTTTCTCTCTTGAATTAGGAAGCTCAATTGTATTATCAAGTTCAAAACATATTTGACCTTTAAAAAAATTTAGCAAAGAATAACTTGCTCTGAAGCAATGTTGCCCGCACTTGAAATAAAATTAAGATGTTGATAATCACCTATAATATTGTAAGATTTCTGGTTATTACCATTATAAATATTTATTTCTTTTACTTGGTAATTTTATACTAAATTTGAAACTTTTGTGCATAGTTATTCCAATTTTATTATCCGATCTAACCCCCCAAAAAAAAAAGAGAACTTAATTTAGTCTGACCAATAGTTTTCAAGGAAGAAGGAAAGCTCTAATTGAGGCGTTGGTTTCTCTTTGCGTTCAAAAATGCATATTAAAGCACAAAAACGTTACGAAACAATAAACAATATATATTAACTGTGATTAAACAAATGTGAAGTTTTATTCAAAAAAAAAAAAAAAGTGAAGTCATAACGACAACCACCAATTAGACTATAAGATCATAATAGTTCGCAGGGCTTAACTTCACAAATTTAGTAGGCAGTATTTGAAAAAATAGACAAAATGGTTCAAAACTCTACAGTGACATGTGGAATTATGCCAAATGTGGGCAGAACCTTTGTGCGCACTAGCATTTGACCATGTCTGCTGAGCTATTGAATTACTACATCATCTCAAATGCTCTATCAGACCGGGACGTGGGGAGCCATTAGGGTGAGAAGAAGTATAAGATGATAATAACTGGAAGAACGAAATTGTATCAACTATAAATTCAATACAAGTACTAGATTAATGGTTGTACTAGTGAAGAAAACCTCTTCCATTTGACATAAATGATAAATATAGCTAGTCTTTCCATTTCACCAATCAATTTGCCTAAACTTAATATGGATTAGTTGTTGTGACACTAGTTATTTCATAATTACTATGTCTCTATAATCTATATCTCCGCAGCTTTATTTTTCTCCAATCTCATTTTATGTGATTAATGCACAAATTAAAAGAGATTTCCAAGCTACAGGACAAAGAATATGTATTAAATGGTCGTCAAACAAATGTAAACACCAACAGCAGTATAAGATCACAATAACTTGAAGATCGAAATTGCATCAACTATAAATTAAATATTTTGCGCTAAAGTGTCATTTCGCATCATGAACTATATCGAATTGTTCATGTTGCACCATGGTCTTTCATAACATATATTTCGAGTCACTTACCTTTAATCTTTTTTCATCTAACATTTTTTTACAGATTTACAGGTTTCATGGCACAGGTTATTAGCTGATGTGGTGCTTATTTCTGCTTATTGACGTGTTCTTTTTTACTGATGTGTCCGATGACAAAGCAGCCGTTGCCCAGAGGCGCGGAGTTAATGCCCAATCACACTCTCTGATTTCACGTATTCACCACATGGAGGTGGTAAAGATTAATATATGTTATGAAAGACAATGGTGCGGCATGAACAATCCGATATAATTTATAATGCAGGATGACGCTTTAGCCAATATTTTGTGAAAATACTACAACTAATAGGTCAATGGTATACTAGTGAAGTGAAGGAAACCGGCCTCGATCATATATCTGACATATATATGCATAGCTATGAAGCTGTGTTGGGGATGAGCGAGTTATAATGCTCGCCAAGTCCGTATGCATGCCTGTGGTATGATAGCATGATACTTGGCTGAAATGAGGCAGTGACACTAGTGGGGGATTTGTATTCCTTTCCCATCTCCACATCAGGGAAAGATCCTGAATATACGAGGATATGTTTCTTTAAGATATGAGTGAGGGCACCGAGCTCAAGTTGTCCTCCCCATGCTGCAGTTGACTCCACTTCTCTACAATAGTTATCAAACCTCTGCTGCTGCATAAGAGAATCATCTGATTCGCCTTCAATAATAATATTCTCAGAGAGGAAAAAGGGAAGGAAATCGGATGCATGGTTCCTCATGTAAGCAGCCACCATTTGTCGTAGTTCTAGGTAAGTATAAGGAGATGAGTCTCCAGAATGTAGAGCTAGCTGATTCTCAACAGCTCTATAGAGACAGTGTCCATCAGGCTTTATTTCATTAATGGTCAATCCAAGGGGTTCGAGCTTCTTTTCCAGCTTCTCATTCTCAATGACCCGATCACTCGTAATATTACTTTGCTCTTCTTGTATTCTTTGCTCTCTGGCGGCTTCTTGTTGAGCTCTCTTTTCACGCCTCTTGACACTCTTACTAGGCTTTGAATGTTCAGCTTGATTGCTGACGACAGATACCCCAGCAATGGCATTCACCAAATTTTCAAGATTTCCATTATCTTTCGTATTGATATTACCACTATAGCCCAGAGAAGCAAGTTCTGCAGCATGTTTTTCTTTGAGCTCTGTCAAAAGTTTAGACATCTCTTCATCTACTTGTTTCTTCTTAGCTTTCTGCTCCGCCTTGCTACCTTTTGCAGCTGCCTTTTTCATTGCAGTTTCTTTGTCCTGTAGCTTGGAAATCTCTTTTCTGCATACATCAAAGTAAAATGACAAAGCTGAAAATCTATTCCCCCATTACTAGATAGATACAGAGACAAAGTAATTGTGAAATATCAGTGCCACAAAAACTCTCCGAATTAAGTTTAGGCAAATTTAGTGGTCTAGTGGCACCAAATTGCTCTCCCATATGGGAGGTTGTAGGTTCGAGTTTCAGTGGAGGCGGTATTGACTCTTTGTGCTTCAGTAGGTTGAGAAAGTAGTTATGAACAGATACTGCATTGTAACAGAGTCAGTAGTACTCAAAAAAAAAAAAAAAAAGTTTAGGCAAATTGATTGATGCTTTAGTTACAACTGCAGTAACACGGAAAGACTAGCAAAATTGTCTAAAAGCAACCATGTTCTTTCAAAGTTAAGTGACTAGTCCCATACTGAATCGTACAATAAAGAAAAATAGATACGGAGTATTTGATAAAAGGCAAAAGTAAAACAAATTTGCCTTCTCACCTGTGCCTAGAAAGCATCTCTTCCCTGGTTTCTTGCTTCTTCTCAGGTGCATTTTCAGAGGCCAGCTCAGACAATTCCTCCTCTACTTTAGGTGTGTCCTCCATTCCAAACTTTGAATCTAAAACCAAAGCAAGCATCTCAATATGGCTAGAGTTAAGAAGAAATGAACCTAACATAGAGTGTGATAATAAGAATTGTACACAGAAAAGGTTCAGCTGAGAGTAAACTGTCATTTTTTTTTTTTTCTTTTGATATGTAAATTATCATGCAATATTCCTGTGTTAGCTCCAATTACATTAAAATCCTTCCTATTTTTGGCAACTAAAAATTAAAATCTTAATGATCTATAGCTCCAACAGTGACTTCTCCGTTAATGCCTGCATATCTTTAATCTTTAAAAATACTTTTAGGATGTAAAGTGGAATGGTATTAGTTACTTCACAAAAATTTATTCAATGTTATGAATAGAACTCGAGTTCAGCCGAACTCTAAATGAGAAACTCTCTCAACAATCTCATTTATCATTTATGAACAAGTACTCATAAGTTAAATGAACTGAAAGCAAACAAACACAGAAAGAAAAGCATAATTTTACTAGTTCAGATCTTCAGTCCAACATGTATTCTAGGTTTTCCTGTGCTTGAAAACGATGGAAGTACAAGTATGATAACCAAAGAAGTATGCAGAGAGAAAATTAATAAATAAATAAATATTCCAATTTATATTCTTTAGCATTGGATGACACATTAGGACATTCAATTAAAGGAAAAGGGTTATTTTAATGTTGCAACTTTCAAGCCAAAACAATTGACCTAAAACACCAAGACTGGAAGAATGTTAAGAATGAAGGGCACACATACAAGAGTTATATACAATTCACTAATCCAAAAATGGCAAAAATGTTTGAGCTACATAAAAAAATATAGGAAGAGCTTAATAGATGATCTTTGATTATTAGGCTACAGACAATGTCCCAAAAGATAGGTTTCACTCATCAACCTTTCGTCCTTTCCCAAGTATGGCTGATGTTGAGCATTACTGTCTATGGCGCAAAATTAAAATTCCTTATTTGACGGTGAATTTTACATGGGTCGAGCTAATACACCTTTCTAATGTATGTGTATCAAAACACAACGGATGTTTTACTTTCTAAAGTTAATTTATATATATTTCCTACACATAAGTACCTTGTCTAGTACTTGTATAAATGGTATACTTGAACTGCCGAATCTGAAATTATAGTAACACAACTACACTTTTTAGATTTTATATATAATTCTGAACTAAATATATACCTGATTATTTATCAAGCATTTTCTATGGATACATCTGTTCAATGGTTAAATGTGTCAAGTATTGTATAGCTACACCTAATTACCTAAGTATTTTCATCTTAGCAATTACTCGTTATCAATAAATTTAACAAACATATCAAAGTTGAGTACATATTAGTGGTGGATATAGAGAATTGTGTTTAATCTTTATAAGCTGGTAAAAGAACTGAAATGGAATAGGAAGGATTGCCAACTTAGCATATGTAAAAAGCAGTTATAGTAGAATTAATTATACAAACAACTAGAACTAACATCACCAAACCAAATCTTCCTCTAACAAATTAGAACATAAACTGTATATATCTTCATCTCAAGATAATTATTTTTCATTCATCAAGTATATCTAGCAAACACTTAAACACGTTATGTGTCTTTCCTCCTTTTTAGGATATGCTATATACTATCTCCAAAGGCCATTTACTTAGACTTCTCAAAACCTAGTTAATAATGATCAAACTTTTTAAAGTGAAAAAGTGTAGAACGCGATGAGGCTGGGTTTTGCTTTAAAGAAAATGCACAAAGCAACGATTTTCTAAAAAAACACAATTAATAACTAGCGATGCAAGAAGATATTAAAAAAAAAAAAATTACCACTTTATAAAAGTTTTAAAAAATTTACAAATTTATATAACAAAATTTACAGTTTTTTAAAAAGTTTTAAGAAAATTAAAGATTTATATTCAAAGTTCAAAAATAAATTAAAACTTCACTGGCAGAATTTTTTTTTAATCAGAAATGAAGAATATCATAAAAACCAAAATCCAGACTAGTTGCCTACCTCACTGGCTGAAACAAGAGGAGCCCAGACTACTCTGGAATCTGAAGTCTGGTCAAAATTAAGAAAAATAAATTAATTTCAACTTGTGAGATTGCAAGAGTGAGAGGCGATCACTTGTAATATTACTCTGCTCTTCTTGTATTCTTTGCTCTCTGGCTGCTTCTTGTTGAGCTCTTTTTCCACGCCTCTTGACACTCTTACTAGGCTTTGAATGTTCACCTTGATTGCTGACAGATACCCCAACAATGTCATTCACCAAATTTTCAAGATTTCCTTTATCTTTCCCATTGATATTGCCAAATGAAATTGGTGCATAATCACACTTCAAAAAGATGCCAGATGACTTTTCAAAACATGAATAAAGAGCATCCATTACTCCAAAGATGAAATGCACATTGAAAAACCAATGACAAATCGATGCCCGTCAGCCCGTGGTGCAACTCCTTGAATATAGAATAAATTGTTTAACATAGATTATTTCAAATTACAGTCAAGAAACTTCGAATCCAATATACATGGACGAATGGCATACCATCCTTCAACTCAAATCTGAAAATACTCCAACTCACATATCCCAATCCAACTAAACTGGTATAGTATTTTCCATTCATAAACAACTGAATTTATCCTAACCATAGTCAATAATTCGAGCTGCAAGAACCAGTTGAGCACGCTACTAGCACTTAAAACAAAGTAAAATTGTCTCAAACAACCAACTTAGCAAAGTGTACACTTAAATCATTTATTCACATAATTCATTAACCAACAATTCAGGTTTCAACAGTACCTAATTCCCCATGATTAACAACAATAAAATTAATATAGCTCTACAAATAAAATTGAAAATTTTTTAGCTTAAACCATTCGGAAAATATACCAGAAATTCAAGTTGACCAATACATTTAACTTAAACTACAAAAAAGAAAATGCTGAAGAAAAATAGAAAGGTACTTACTTGAGGTAAGCCGGTAAGGTCTCCCCGTCTGAAGAATCCCTGGGCGGCTCTATCTCTTGGGGCGTTGCGTCTCTGTCTCTCTCTCTGCGCGCTATTTTCTCCTGGGCAATGCTCGATGGGAAGGGAAGGGGAAAAAAGAAGCTAGGGTTCTATGGCATATTTAGGAAGTTTTAAGTTACCTATTTCATAAATTAATTAATTTTTTATTGCATACTAGTATTACGGATACGTATTATAACTATTGTTTTAATATATTATAGTAAATAAATCATTAGACAATTAAATTGTAGTTTTTTTTTTTTTTTTTTTTTTGAAGAAAATGGAAATTTCATTAAGCCAAAATCATATCAATCTGGAGGAACAGAGTCCCAAGGACCAGGACAGACATAGAAACAGTAGCATGTGCTAACACATGGGCTGCCTGATTCGCTGACTTACGAATATGGCGAACCTTAACATCCCCAATGTTCTTAGCAATTGCTTTACATTGCTTGATTAAACTGTTGGAAAAATAGCATTAAAATGGCATTTTAAGTGGCTATTTTGTGGTACAATTATCAGTGGGGACCACTTCCGATTTGGGTCGGGTCAAAGTGGATTCGGTTTCTTCGTAGTGAGACGAAGAGATTGATATATTGTACGCTCAAAACGGATAATGGGTGAATGAGATATTGATTCTCAAAGTAGACCCATTGAGTTGGAAAAATGAAAGGAAAAAGTGAGCTTTTGTCCCACATTGGTTTGGAAAGAGGATTTGACCCCCCTTTTATACAAGAGCTTTTTTAGAGCTTGTAGAATTGTATAGCATAGAGGCTCTCTCGCGGGGGGGGGGGGGGGGGGGGGGGGGGAGGGGGAGGGGGTGGTGCAAATCAAATTCCAACTAGAGATGACTTCGGAAATCAAGCCCGAGCTCGTGTGCGCCGGTGCCTACGGGCACGAATGTCGTCCGGAAATTGGTTGGCCTTGCGGGCTAAGTTATGCCAACTTTCGATATCATATTTTCCAACACAATAGCCACTTGGGTTCGGCCAAGACCGAGACGAGCTCGGTCCAGGCCGAACTGAACCATGGTTTCGGCCTTGGGCGAAACCGGATAGTTTCGGTCTGAACCATGGTTTCGGCCTTGGGAGGCCGAAACTATCAACAGAACGCAGCAATGTTTCGGCCTTGGGCTGAAACTTGGCGAAGCTGAAACTTTCGGCCTGGGGCCGAAAGTTGGTGAGGCAAAAGGCCAACAGTCCATTAACTCCAGTTTTGAATTGTGAATTTAATTCTGTTAATGGGGGTTGCTGTTTCAGATGTTACACAACGTGTAATTAAGGCCATGATAAATGCTATTAAGTACTCCTCCCCTATATAAGAAGGGGTAGAAGGTAGAAGTTTTACACATACTACGAACAAGTAAAAGAGCTCTACACGAAATTAGTTTTCAAGCTTAAAAACCTTCTGCTTCTACTCCTTTCTTAAGCCTAGCTGTGTTCAAGGCTTTGCTCCGTTCGCTGGGTTCGTTCGTTTGGGTGCTCGAACGTTGAATCGTAGCGCGTTTTATCCTGGGAAACCTAGGCCACGGCGCTCCTAGCACTTTTGGGAGGTGGCAAATAAGGTTTTAAGGAAATAGTGGTCTCTTGACTCACGCTAAAAACCCTTACCCAAACACGAGCCAATCTTTCCTTCTTTCGGTTTTGGATTATGCTTCTAAGCAAAAATCCTCCTTTTATGTTTTAGTTTGGTTGGAATTATAATCTGTGTATTATAAATTCCATTTGGTTGATATGTATATGTCTTTTCCGTAGATATTCATGCATATAACCATGGTGGTCTGATTTATATATATATTTGTGTGTGTGTGTGTATATATATATATATATATATATATATATATATATATATATATATATATATATATATATATATATATATATATATATATATATATATATATATATATATATCGGATATATATATCGAATGATATTTTATATACTTCGTGTGTGTATATATAAATATTATTTTACGATATTAAATCGATTTTGGTTCATTATCACCAACAATCTTAAAACCTTATCTATTTTGATAATGAACAAGTCAATGGATTCCAAGAGTATTGGAACCGTGAATGTTGCCGGAGGTGCACATTCAAATGGTCGGAATGGCAACGATGTTGCACATTCTGTGATGCCGGTTGACGGCGGCAACGTTGGAAATAATACTTCCGTGGGAGTTGCAAAAACACACGATGGTGCTCCGGAGAACATTGGTTCACGAACCGGTAGACCTGTGGCTAATGGCACACAATTGGTACCTATTGTGTTGCCTAGTGGATCGGCTAAAAGCCACGAAGGATCCTATGATGGTGTGAACACTACATGGTCTGAGGACTACTGTAGTGTGACCAATGACTTCAACCGTAGTCAAAGGAAACTTAAGCGGAAGCTTAGCTTTCAAGAAGATTATGGAAAGAAGGAGAAATGCCACTACAAAGCGAACCGTCATCCTGGTGAAAAGGTTGAGGACAATTTCGCTATGTTTAAAATGTGTGGATGGTTGGACGAGTAAGGTCACAACCAAGGTACCCCCGATGTGCACTATGGACCACCCTTTGTGGAGTGGACGGTTGAGAATGGAACAAGGCACACGGGTTGAAAGGATCACTACGAGATAGGAATAAGGAAATGTGTTTCCAATATAATTTTCCTATTTATTTATTTGTTAAATAAATGTTGTAGTATCCTTGTGATACATTTTTATTGTTGAATAAAAAATGAATTGTTCCATTGAGCTATTGAATCATAGTATATACGAATTATTTGATGAAATAATGTTGAATGTATGAAATGATTCAATATGGGTGCGTAGTGCATCACGGAGCATTATGTGGAAAATGCTAAAATGACGTAACGGCCGGAATGAAATGTAACAGGCGTGTTACATGTTGAAATCCCGCAATGAACTTCGGTTCAGGTTCATGTAGAACGATACGGATTTCAAGCATCAATTTGTCAAAAATTGGAATAACTATATAATCGTGAGCGTCACAGCTCAAGTGTTGAATATTTTATATAATATTCTAAGAACGATTATATGAGTTTGATTCAACTAGTCGGAAATTTGGTTGATTTATTATTGTTAATTGTGTTATAATTAACTTAATCAAAATTCCAAATTATACTAGTATGAAATGTGATTTGAGACAAATTGTTGGGACGTCAAATTAAGCATGAGCTTAATGTGAAATGCTAATTGTAGTGCTTAATAGCACTGGACGTCAAAAATGTTGAATTAGCATTACGCAAGAGGCTAATTAAATTTAGCTTTGCAAAAAGTGTTATGTGATTAGCACGAAAGGAGGTTTGGTTAATTGTGTAATTAACTAATAATCCTTGTGCTAGGTAGCACTAGGGCTGGGCATTTCGGTTCGGTTTAACCGAACCGAACCGAACCAAACCGAACCGAAGCGGTTTGGTTCGGTTTGGTTTCAAACCGAAAAACCGATCGGTCCTAAGATTTGAGAAACCGATCGGTTCGGTTTGGTTCGGTTTAAAACCGAACCAAACCGATCGGTTTTTAAAAAAAATATATATATATATATATAATATATATAATAACTAATAATATATAATTATATATAAATAAACTTTAATATAATCTAACATTCTAAGATCTAACCCTAATTTCCAGTTCACCCTTACCAGTTACGACAACACTTCACGCCTTCACCTTCGGCTCCGCCCGTCGACCCCTACGCCAGTCGCAGTCACATCTCCGGCCTCCGGCAACCGCCACGGCGCCACCCCTCCGCCAGTCCGCCACCCCTCCGCCCGTCCGCCCGTCCGCCACCCCTCCTAGGTTCCTCCGTTCCTTCCTCCCTTGGCTCAGTGACTCACACCATCCGCGACCGAGGTATGTTAAATTGTTAATAACTTAATATGTTTTCCTTTTCTACTTAATATTTTTTAGTTTTATAGGTTATAGTTTATAGTTTATACATTTTCTTATTTAAAGAATTTTGAATTAGGACTTTTATTTATTTATTTAGATTTTGTGTTCTAGAAACTAGAATTTCAATTTCATTATGTTCATTGACTTGCGCTGTATAAGTTTTACTTTTGTATTGATCATTTGATTGTTTTCATTCCAGTTCACTACTAGAATTTAATTCAAATTCCAGTAGTGAACTGGAAAATTCCAGTTCACTTTTGCAGTGAACTGGAATTAACACTGGAATTAAATTCCAGTGAAGTCACTGGAATTTAATTCCAGTAATTCCAGTGAAGTCACTGGAATTCCAGTGGCTTCCAGTGAGTTCACTGGAATTCCAGTGGCTTCACTGGAATTCCAGTAATTCCAGTGAACTCACCGGAATTCCAGTGAACTGGAACATTGAACTGCTCTTGTTCAATTCACTGGAATTAAATTTCAATTCCAGTGAATTAGAATTAATATGACGGGAAATTTTAAATTGCTTAGTCATGTATCTTGCCATCAAGCGAACCGTTTACATTTGAATTTTATAATGCAGATGGATGATTCTTTGTCTTACCATCAAGGGAACACTCCAAGTAGCACTCCAACTTTGTCAATTGATGAATCAGTGGGACAAAAAAGAAAACTTCCAAACAGTGGATTTCCACCGAAACCAACTGCTCCAAGATCTGAGGTATGGAATCATTTCACTAAATTGGAGGATAACAAGGATAAGTGTAAATGTAATTACTGCCATAAAGAATTTAAGTGTGTATCAACGAGTGGCACTAGTACATTGAAATCACATAATCAAAGATGTGCTGCATATAAGGACCACCTAGATAGTACAACTCAAAAAAATCTAACAATACTTGAAAGTGCAAGTGTTGTTAAAGGTGGTAGTAGTAATCTTGTGGCGGTTGGGTTTAATCAAGATGCTTGTAGGAGGGCAACTGTTAAGATGATTATTTTGGATGAATTGCCATTTTGTTTTGTGGATGGGGATGGGTTTAAACAATTCTGTAGTGTTGCTTGTCCAAGATTTATTATCCCTTCACGAAGAACAATCACAAGAGATGTTGTTGAATTGTTCATGAAAGAAAAAGCTTTGTTGAAGAGCATGATTAGTCAGTCAAGAGTTTCTTTAACTACTGATATATGGACTGCAAGTACTACTACTGTTAGTTATATGGTTATCACTGCTCATTATATTGATGTGAACTGGAAGTTGCACAGAAAAATTATCAGTTTTAAACCAATTTCTGATCATAAAGGTGAAACAATTGCAAAAGAACTTGAGAATTGTTTGATTGATTGGGGTATCACCAAAGTTTTTACTATCACAGTTGACAATGCATCTGCTAATGATAGTGCACTTAGGATTTTCAAAACTAAAGTGAAGTGTTGGAGAGAGGATCCTATGATATTGGGTGGAGAGTTTTTGCATGTGCGTTGTTGTGCACATATTTTAAATTTGATTGTGAAGGATGGCTTGGCAGCGGTGGGTAATAGTGTGGTTAGTGTTCGTAATGCAGTGAAGTATGTGAGATCATCCAATTCTAGATTTCAAGCATTTCAAATACGTGCAGAGCAAGATAACCTATGCAGAGGGAGTTTGATTTTAGATTGCAATACTAGATGGAATTCTACTTACCTCATGTTGACTGCAGCTTTGAAGTATAGGGCAGCATTTGATCGAATGGCTAATGAAGACAAATTGTATGATGCTTACTTTAAAGAGGATGAAAATGGAAAGAGAAGGGTTGGGCTGCCATCATCAAATGATTGGGAGAATGTCCGTCGATTGGTACAATTTTTGAAAATTTTTTATGATGCGACTTTGTCTTTTTCTTCATACAAAACTGTGACATCTAGTCATTGTTTTGATGATATATGCACAATTGAAGTTAATTTGAATGTTTTCAGTAGTAGTAAAGATGTCAATATGAGTGGCATGGCAAAGGAAATGAAGAAAAAGTTTGATAAGTATTGGGAGGGGTCTGAGATAAACAAATTGTTGATTGTTAGTAGTGTGTTGGATCCCAGGAGCAAGATGGGTTTTGTGACAGTTTGTTTTGAAAAATTGTATGGTAAAGATACACCAAAATGTAGTGAAATGAAAGAAGCAGTTGTGGATATCATGCGTAAGTTGTATGAGGTATACAGTGCATTCTATGCTAAACCAAGTGCAACTACAAGTCAAAGTGGTTGTGGAAGTGAAAGTGGAGGTGAGAGTGTAATTCAATCTTGTGTGACTAGTGAATTAGTTTTAGATGTTGGTGATGTATCGGCTGTTGGGAGTATTTTTAACACGTATGCCACCGGTTTGATATGTGAAAAAGGAGATGTGCAACAAACATCAAATGAGTTGGATATATACTTGATGGAAAAGATTGAAATGCCAACTCCTAATAGATTGGGTATGCAATTTGATATTTTGTCATGGTGGAGGAAAGAAAGTATGAAATTCCCAATCTTGTCACAAATGGCACGTGATGTTCTTGCAATGCCAGTTTCTAGTGTTGCATCAGAGTCTGCTTTTAGCACTTCGGGCCGTATTTTAGACCAATATCGGAGTTCTTTGACACCGTATATGGTAGAGGCATTGATTTTGACACAAGATTGGTTACGGTCTTCACTCCAATCTGATTCAACAGTAAGCCTCGCTCAAATATTGGAAGAAACTCAGTTTATGGATATGCTTGCAGAAGGTAAGTTACAATTTTATATTTTTTTATGAATTTATGTATAGTATATACTATATTAGTTTATGCTTCAATATTTTATTATTTTAACTTGTTTTTGAACCTTTTGTTTTGTTGTACAGAGATTCGCAAATCAACAGGGCAACGTCATATTGATCTGTGACCGTGATGATGGATGAACAACTTAACAACCTATGAGTTTGGAATTCGTTTTGTTATGTTGATTGTTTTTGAATTGTTATGTTGGTATCCTTTATTTAGATATTAGACTTTGGATTTGAGTTATTGATTCATGTTTGTAATGTTTGAACTTTGAACTTTGGATTCTAATTTCTAAGTATGTGATGTTTTGGTAATTAGATTGCTATTAGTATGTGATGTTAGTATTTACTATTTAGTAGTATGTTTAAACTTTAAATTTTTATTTTGTTATATAACGTTTATATTTTAGATGTGGATTATGTGAATAGGTATTGTTTGGTAATTGGTAGTATGTTTGGAAAATTATGAAATGTTGAAATTTGATGAATGTAATTCTCGTAAAGTCTTAAACCGAACCGAAGACCGAACCGAATTAAATCCGAACCGAAACCAAACCGATTGAAACCAAACCGAAACCAAACCGAACTACAATGTTAAACCGAATGGTTCAACTTTTTCTAAAACCGAAAAACCGAAACCAAAACCGAAACCGAAAAAACCAAATCGAAAACCGAAGTGCCCAGCCCTAGGTAGCACTGGATTTATAAATTAAGCAACCGAATGTTGCTAGAAGTTTATAATTTAAAGCAATAGAGATTGCTTGGAAATCGGCGCGTTAGTTTGGGAGCAATGATTCGTGCTTGGAATAGCATGTTTCGTGCTTCATTACTAAGCACTGATTCGTGCTTCAATTTTTGGAAGCAATGATTCGGGTTTGTGGCCTTTCGGTCAAAAACCGAATGGATTCGTAAAGGCTAATCTGTTAGCTTCTACGAGATGTGTTAACGTGTTATTCTTTATGAGAATAAAAGGGATAACCAAATTAATTGTGAATTAACGCGGTTACGAACGATCGATGTGGTGAACATGAAACACCGATTGGTGATTTCGGCGCAAGTGTTAGTGTCGTACTCGAGCGTACGGTACGGTATTCACCTCAATCGAACGTTGTTGCCGAACATAAATATCAAGACATTGATAAGTTCGGGTCTACCTCAAGGTATGTGGGGTGAGACAATACTTTGGACAAGTAAAGTACCTTTTAAATAAGGTAACCCGCATGAAATTCTTACGAATTGTGGATACGCAGGAAGTTTTCCTACGAATACCTGAAATGTGGGGGTGTCTTGCCAAAGACGTTTGGTTCTTAGTACACGAGTCCAAGAGTTTGGATGTACATAAGAACACGAAAGATTGATTCAAGAAATTCATCGTTCTTGGAAGATGTATTTTTGTGAAGGATCAATATAAAGGACCTAGCATGTTGAAAGGAACTTTCGGCGTAGCTATGGTTGAAGGGTGTGAAAGAGAACCCGAGCTCAAAGCTAGACGTAGCAAGAGAGCTAGGATTGAAAAATCCTTTGGTCCATATTTTCTGACGTACATGTTAGAGTGTGATGCGCACAATCTAACTTGTTTACTAGAAAAGAAATTGGATTTTCTGACATGGTTGTTAGAAAATGAGCCTCGAACATATGTAGAAGTGGTGACTTCTACAGGTGGACCAACCCGAGAGAGGCTATCGAGAGTGAAGTAGATTCTATCTTAAAGAATCATACTTGGAACTGGTTGTTCTTCCTCCGGGTTGTAAAACCTCGGGATCCTAAGTGGATCACTAGTCGGAAGACAAAACCGGTTGGTTATATTGAAGTAAAATGGCCAGGCTTGTAATTGTAGATTACATGCAACACGAATGCCACAGTTACTTCAATATATATTCTCTTGTGATGAGAATGGAATCCATTAGAACGATACTTGCCAAAGTCGTTTAGCGAGACTTGGAAGTTCATCAAAATGGAAGTGTTGCTTTCTTAGTAGACATGGAACGACCAGAGGGTCTGTGGTTCCACGATGTGAAAAGAAAGTGTGTAATTGGTAATGTCATGGTATGATTCGGAACAATTGCCTTAGTGTTTGGCATGTGAGGTTTTGATCATGCATTGATGACCAACGAGTTTAGTATAAATAAAAGTGACTAGTGGGTCTACGTATTGCGTACGATAGACGGTGATATCACTGTTTGTTTATACATGATAAACTCAACGTGGGTAGTAACGATCAAATGATCTATTCTACCAGGAACATGTTAAATTCGAGATTTGATATGAGAGGTGTGAGTTTGGCAGATTTAATCTTCGAGATTAAAATCGTGAGAAGACCGTATGGTCTCGTGTTAGGCCAATCTCAGCGAGTTGATTGAATCCTTTCAAGGATGATAATCAAGTGGCTTGGACACCGTTAGATACTAACGTACAACTAGCCAATAATCATGGAGATTGTAATTCTCGTGGAGAATACATTCAGGTTATTGGTAGTTTAATTGTATCAAATGGGTTATACTAAGCCAGATATTGCCTTTGCGGTTAACGAACTTGGTAGACATCTGAGTAACCCTAGTGATGCGCACTAGAAGGCAATAGTGAGAGTTATGAGATACTTGAGGTATGCTCGTGACTTTGGACTGCACTACGTGTAGATATCTAGCTGTACTTGGAAAGTATAGCACGTTAACGGGATATCAAAGGATGATAAATCCATCAAAGGCTACGTCTTTACGTAGGCCAGTGCAGTCGGTTGGATGGAAATTCTCAAAATGATTTGTGATAGCTAAGATCCGACGGGATCTAAGCTGAGAGCCTTACACTCGTGTCGCGAACAAGTAGGCCGAATGGCTATGCCATTTTTTCGGGAATGTTCCTAGAGGTAAACTCGTATCTCCAATTTGTGTGCATTGCGAGAGTCAAGCCAAAATTGGTTAAGTACAGAGTTAGATGTGGAATGGTAAGTCTAGACTCATACGTCGTAGACATAATACCATTAAATCATTTCTCACAACAGGGGTTATCTCTTATTGACTACGTGATGTCATAAGATAACGTAGCGGCCGCTAACTCGCTAACCCGAGGGTAAGCAAATGGTTGTTGAGAAGTTGGAACGAGGAATGGGTCTAAAGCCCTTGGACTAAAAAGTTCCATAGTAGATACCCAACCTAGCTGGCACCTAGGTTCAATGGGACAACTAAATTATGGAACGGAGCGTGTCACTGTGGGGGTCTCGGACTCCCTACCACTCCTCGTTAGAAACAGTGACTCCCGCACGAGGCTAGCATGTTGATGCTTTAATGATTCTTGAGTATGCGGGATACTCGAGAAAGAATCACCTATGTAAGAGAGAAGTGAGGGTCGCTTCAAAGGAGAATTGTTGGGCACAATTCTTTAGAAACTCTCGCAGAACCAGGAACGGTGACCCACGACCAAAATGGGCACACTCATGAGAACAGAGAATGGTTGGGAGGTTCCTGTGTGAGATATGTCATCGTCTACACAAATGGCAGTCGGTTCAAAGACATCGCGTTCTACCGAACAACCAGTAGAGTAAACATTTCTTCACAAGGGAAGGTTCAAAGGGTATAGTGACTCCCTACCTATCCTATGCAGGGATCGACCGTTTGAACACAGTTGTTTCCGATTTCAAAATACCCCGAAAATCAATTTTTCATTCATGTGGGGGATTGTTGGAAAAATGGCATTTTAAGTGGCTATTTTGTGGTACAATTATCGGTGGGGACCACTTCCGATTTGGGTCGGGTCAAAGTGGATTCGGTTTCTTCGTAGTGAGACGAAGAGATTGATATATTGTACGCTCAAAACGGATAATGGGTGAATGAGATATTGATTCTCAAAGTAGACCCATTGAGTTGGAAAAATGAAAGGAAAAAGTGAGCTTTTGTCCCACATTGGTTTGGAAAGAGGATTTGACCCCCCCTTTTATACAAGAGCTTTTTTAGAGCTTGTAGAATTGTATAGCATAGAGGCTCTCTCGCGCGGGGGGGGGGTGGTGCAAATCAAATTCCAACTAGAGATGACTTCGGAAAGGCTTGATTCAAGCCCGAGCTCGTGTGCGCCGGCGCCTACGGGCACGAATGTCGTCCAGAAATTGGCTGGCCTTGCGGGCTAAGTTATGCCAACTTTCGGTTTCATATTTTCCAACACAATAGCCCAAGGCCAAGTTATGCCAACTTTCGGTATCATATTTTCCAACACAATAGCCACTTGGGTTCGGCCAAGACCGAGACGAGCTCGGTCCAGGCCGAACTTAACCATGGTTTCGGCCTTCGATAGTTTCGGTCTGAACCATGGTTTCGGCCTTGGGAGGCCGAAACTATCAACAGAACGCAGCAATGTTTCGGCCTTGGGCCGAAACTTGGCGAAGTTGAAACTTTCGGCCTGGGGCCGAAAGTTGGTGAGGCAGAAGGCCAACAGTCCATTAACTCCAGTTTTGAATTGTGAATTTAATTCTGTTAATGGGGGTTGTTGTTTAAGATGTTACACAACGTGTAATTAAGGCCATGATAAATGCTATTAAGTACTCCTCCCCTATATAAGAAGGGGTAGAAGGTAGAAGCTTTACACATACTACGAACA